TTACTTACGTTTATACATGGCTACAATCATGAACACATTATAGAGTAATGAGCAATTCACACCCCAAACACCCGGGTCACAACTGTAATGAGTTATTGGTGGCAAATATTGTTGATGAGTCACACACCCCACACACACAACACACACAACACAACACAACACTACACAAACACACACACAACACCACACACACACACACACACACACACACACGCGAGTAGTGGAGGCAGCATCTCATACATAGCTTTAAGCAGAGGTATGATAAGTCACGGACTGGGAAAGTTTGACTAGTACGATCAGTGAAGAGGAGGCCAGAGCTCGGACAACCCGCACTCAAGTAGGTGAGTACATCTAGTGAGTTACACATACACACACGAACGTAATATAGGATGAGTACACCCACACCCGACAACTACACAGACAGACCTCACACACACACCACACACACACACACACACACACACACACACACACACACACACACACACACACACACACACACACACACACACACACACACGCATGTCCTACGAAGAAAGGTTGAGGGAAATCGGCCTGACGACACTGGAGGCAGGAGGGTCAGGGGAGACATGATAACGACATATAAAATACTGCGCGGAATAGACGAGGTGGACAAAGACGGGATGTTCCAGAGAGGGGACACAGACACAAGAGGTCACAATTGGAAGTTGAAGACTCAGATGAATCAAAGGGATGTTAGGAAGCATTTCTTCAGTCATAGAGTAGTCAAGCCGTGGAATATGGCCTAGAAAGTGAAGTAGTGGAGGCGGGAACCATACATAGTTTTAAGGCGAGGTATGATAAAGCTCATGGAGCAGGGAGAGAGAGGACCTAGTAGCAATCAGTGAAGAGGCGGGGCCAGGAGCTATGACTCGACCCCTGCAACCACAAATAGGTGAGTACGCACACACACACACACACACACACACACACACACACACACACAAAAATGGTAATGCATTATTTACAGCTAGCAAAGTCAGGGTATTTCTCCAGAATGGTCTGCAATATACCACTGTGGATAAAATACTTTGCCATTTCTTGAACATTTCTGAGTGAGTTGTTTCTAAATTCATTAATTTGATCACACTCCAGTACGTAATGACGCAAGGTGTGACAATAGTCCATCTGGCAAAGTTTACATTTCGTTTGGTCTACATCTGGTGTGGTGATTTAACCTGCCAAAGATACTTGTAACCCAGCCGGAGCCGGGCAGTAGTGACATCCAAGAGTCTGCTTATCTTGTTGGATGCACCATAGACATGTGGCTCCTCCTGCATGATGGAATGATGATAGATGGACTGACTTGTGTCAATCTCCCTAAGTCTTAAGTCAAAAGTTCATTTGAAGTTCTTTTCGTATTATTGTTCTCAAAATGCTAACTGACAACCCAAGATTGTAATCTACCCCCTCTTTGAAAGCATACAGCTTAGCCAATTTATCAGTTCTATCATGCATCTGAAGACCAATGTGAGATGGAATCCACAGCATGTGCACTCTGACTCCACTGTCCACAATCTTACCATACCTATGTCTGGCTTCTGACACAAGCATGCCACAATTTATACTTAATGAGTTGAGAGCATTTATGGATGACAGAGAATCAGTTACAATTAAAGTGTCAACCTTAGATACATGGACACATTTGAGTGGCAAGGAGTATGGCAAAACGTTCTGTTTGAAGGGTAGAGGCCCAGTTATTGATGCGTGCTCCAATTTCTTTATGAGAGCCATCACTGTGTGACAACAGCAGCACTACCAGCTGCACCAGTGGACTGGTGAACAGAACCATCGACGTAAATAATTTGTGAAAGAGTGTTCTGTGTGATTAAGTTATCAATACAGCTTAAGGCATCATGTTTGGCTTCAAGACGAAGCTTTGGTTGTGATTTAAGAAGAGTTTTGGGGGGAAATGGAGGAATGGTAGTTTGGAATGGGGTAATATCCCATGGAGCAGGGAAATGTCTCTGTTGTCTAACTTGATATAGATCATGTAGCTGGTTCATGCGGAGGTCGGTTCCAGTTTTTTCGATCCATCTGGAAGGATGTTCACCAGTGCTGAGGAAAGTTTGGAGGGCTTCTGTGCAGGGGTTTGAATGGGCTAGCCTAAGCATATTGACCCCAATAAGGATATTTCTTTCAGTAACACGATCTCTAATGCTTGGAATATTAAGTTTTTTCCGCATATTTAAAATTTTGGCAGGACGAGGGCATCCTAGGATGATCCTCATTGCTTCGTTTTGCAGTTTTTCCAGCCCTCCAAGCTTCCAGTCAGACACGAGTGCAAGTAGTGGCGCCGCATAATCAACCAATGATCTAATATAAGCAAGATACATCATTTTCACAATTTTAACATTAGCACCATACCTGGGATGAAAACCTGCCACAACTCTAAGTGCTCTCAGCCTTCTTTGTATGGCGACAGTCTCGTTACAACAGGTCCAAGTAGTGGAACCTCAAAGCCTAGGTACCTGTATCTGCTCACATATTCTAGAAGAGACCCATCATGCAACTGGATCTGACGAACTGTGCCTCTCTGCCGAGGAGGACTCCTGTTGAGTATCTTTGTTTTATCCCCTGAGATTATTAACCCCAGGTCCTGACACGAGGCTAGTACATGATTAAGAATGTTTTGGGTGTTGGAGAATCCGGTGGTGTGAATCATTATGTCTTCAGCAAAACTAACCATATAATGATGGGGCTGGCTAGGCATGGCATTAAGTAAGGCATTAATCAAAATGTTGAAAAGGGTGGGACTAAGCACACCTCCCTGTGGGGTTCCTAATTCAAAATCTTTAGTTACACTTCTATGTCCCTGGAACAACACAGACGACTTTCTGTTGGACAGGTAACCTTTAATCCAGCGGAGAAGCCATCCTCCAACATCCATTCTGGCAAGTTCACTAATGATTACATGTCGGTTGGCTACATCAAAAGCGGATTTAAGGTCAAGGAACGTAGTGTATGAACTGTCAGTGTGCAGAGTGAGAAAGGTGGTAATGCAATGATGCACGCATGAAGCCTAACACTTGGATACTTCCAGAGGACTGAACTTTGCCTACACATTGGCATATGGCCCATATGACTTACAACAGGAATGGAATATTCTGGCATACAGTATGAGCACAACAATTTTTCACATGGATGCGACCCACGAGTCTGTAATATACATGTACTTTATTTGCTGTAGGTTGGCAGGGGTGTAAGGAAGCTTGCCCTTCAGTCTCGTCGATCCGTGGATCGAACCTGGGACTTTTCTCTTATGAACCAAGGGTCTTACCACCCTATCATCCGTTTTACCATCGTCATTAGCTATCATTTGTCACCTTAGCCCCTCCTCGCAATGTCCCTCTCCACGCTATCAAATTCGAATATCTTGTAAATGTCAAGATTATGAAAATAGGTCACTGATTGGCTGTATTGGGTTAACCTGGGCAATTTACACCTAAGTTACTAAAGACAAATCTAAAAATCCAGACTTGCCTAATGGACCTGAATAAACTTATTAATTTACTAGTCCCTCCTGGTGTTCTCTTCTAGAATTAGTTTGAACTCTTCTCAATTCCGACAACAGTCTCATCACGAACCTTGGGAGATTCTCAAGGTTGTTTATGTCAACGTGCTTGATCAAGTGTAGGTTCCTTGCTAGTGCCGCATATTCAACGATGGGCCTGAGTCCTGACGTGTCTGTGTGAAGCCCTCAATGATTCCTTGTTAAGGTTCCTGTAGACAGATTACACGCATTAGAACTAATGCGTCATGCTATCCACGACCTCGTGCGTTAGAGCTAGTGCATCGTTCTTCATAGCAAATGAGCACTCCTTCAAATGAATAATAAAAATTGTATCTGATCTTCAAATAAATCAGATGCATATACCAAGAATGACAACAATAACATTTGCTTTCATCATTCGAAATTATCTTAATAATAATAATAATAATAATAATAATAATAATAATAATAATAATAATAAAATGTTTTCCAATAAGACACATTTGATGCAGACATTTCTTACGTGGAAAAGCCCATATTTATGAAGGCATTTATCATTTCTTTCCTTCTCAACCCCTTTTCTCCAAATAATTAAATTACAAGCATCTTCTGTTTTGTTACCAGGCACGTGCTTAACTTTAAAGAGATCTAATCTCAAATTTTTTCCCAGTAAAAACTCATTTGTTGGTCCCGATCCTAGCACGGGTAGTTTCCCCTTAAGTGATTTTCTGTAATTTTGTGCCCCTTTTTAAACCTTTTAAAAAAAATCACACAATGAAAAAGTTTACTGACGTTGTGAAATAAAGCGACGGGGTTTACCAAGGAAACCCCAAATTCGCTTTTAGAAACATTAAAATCTTCATTGATTATTTCTTTAAAATGAATTGCATTATTTTATAACTAACTCTTTGCTACTGTTACCCAGTCAATAAATTTGTTGCGTAGCTAACGAAATGTCGAGGACCCGCCCTTGACCCCAGTATGTGGGTAAATAATATTTTGACCTGCCGTCCACAGGATAGGTATGGGGTAACTACTGCCACAGTATATGTATGGGAGTGACTACTGCCACAGTCTATGTATGGGAGTGACTACTGCCACAGTATGGGTATTAGGTGACTACCACCTACAGGATGGGTATGGGTGCATGATAAAGCTATTAAATATTTTTTTCCACGCTATTAGTGTTTAAACATAAGTTACAGCGTGCAATGCATTCATTTGCTAATGTTAATACTCCCAGGCTCTAAGTGATCCGTAGGGATCACACGGGGCCGAGGAAATGAAGGTAATCAGTCCTGATCTAAGGGAACGTTGGAAGGTTCAATTTCATAGGTCACAAAACCTTCACCAGCACCTATGCAGTCCTCCTGAAGGTTAGCATGTACTCATAATAAAAAGAGGAAGAAATCTTTAAGCATATCTACTTTCTTTGCTCACTGATATTTTATCAGTATAACCTTCGGAAATAACTGATTGTTATCAGTATAACTGTAGAGGCTGCATGAATATAGGCAGTGTAGCGTTGGATGAGTGATCTTCATCGTGTACACTGCTGAGAGTGTTGAATGATCTACAGCTTGTATACTGCTGACGGTGTTGAATGACCTCCATCAACACTGCTGAGTCATATACATCAACATGAGATTATTGACAGTCGTCTTGTTGCTACTGTGGGCACTGCTGGGAAAGTGTTCCGAGCCACCTTCAGATGTCCTCTCCTGCTCTTACCAAATCAGCAACATCCTCAGGGAGATCAAGGACGTCCTAACTTCTACATCTGGCCGCTGCTCAAGTGATGGTACTGTGAGACTTCTTGACTGTTTCTCCTCTGTGCTGGTTCTCTCGTATTGCTGGTTCTCTCTCTTTGTTTTTCTCACTTTTTTTTTAATATTACCTCAACGTCCACAGGATGGGTATGGGATGAATAATAAATCTATTAAACTTAAAACATTACCTCAAAATGATTGTGTGGGTTTGGTCGAGCATTATTTTACTTATCATTCAGGTAATTCGGGCTATGTATTACCTTTTCTCCAATTATTTTTGTAGTACAAGGGTGTCCATAATTGCAGCTCTTATGAACTGGCAAAATTAGAATACATTAATTTTGATAAGTGGCTTGTTACACGTGGCAGAGAATTTATAAAACATTTCATTGATGAAAGCTCTTTCTCTTGACTCACAAAATCGTAATGACACGATTGCAAGCAAACCATACCACGGGTAGGGATAGAACCCGCGATCAGAGACTCTGATCGCGGGTTCTACCCCCACCCGTGGTATGGTTTGGTTTGCTCTTTCTCTTTCCTACTTGAATAAATTTGTAAGTTTCTAGGGTTCTTTTGTTAACTTCATTATTACTGCACTTGTTTATGTTTCCATTTCAGGAGAGAGAGACGAGAGGTTGGTGGGTATCGAGAGGGAGACGGTGAGCCAAGCAGTCAGGCAACATGGTGAGGTAAGACTATAATAGTTTTCTTCCCCTCACTGGTGGTGATGACGACGATGGTGGCAGTGGCGGCGGCGGTGGTGGTGAAGATTGTGGTGTTGGTGTGTGTTTGTGTGGTGGTTTCAAAAGACACGTAAGCAAACACTCTAGAACACTTATTAGAAAACGCTTCGGTTCTCAGATTTTGATCACTTCTTATCAAGGTCCCAGTATCGAAATGATTTTTAATAAATATGTTCTAGTGTTTGCTCACGTGTAGATATGGTAGTGTGTATGGGTGATGCATGTTGGTGTTGGTGTGTGTTGTTCGTGCTGGTGTGTAATGTACAGTGGTATAGATAGTGTGAGATGAGTTATGTTTAGTCTTTCAAGATTGTTGAAAAATAGTTTTCAATATAAATGTACTCTTAATATTTCTGAACAATCATGATAAAGAGTTCTGCTCCTGTTTTGATATTTACCTTTGGTACCGCCTACAGGTAGTTCGGTCCCTGCTGGCTCAGACGGAGTCGCTGAAGAAGGCCGTAACATCAGTGGCAGAGGTGCAGAGCGCCCATAAGCAATTACTCATCGCCCTCAGGACCGAACTGGAAAGTGAAAAGCAGACTAAACGCACACAGAGACGCACTATCCAGGATCTGAGATCTGAGATCCACACACTGAGGGAGGAGAGCAAGGTTGGTCATGGCCTAACCCATGCTGTCAGGGCTTCACATTAGTTTGTGATAAACTCTATCTCACAGAAAAGAAAGGAAACGACTTTACAGTAGCGAATTCTCTGTTATTTGATGAAAGTAGTTAGATTACAAGTATAGTAGATTGAAATATGTGAGCAGGTTTCCTTACTGTGAATTATTATGTAAGCAATTACTTGCATGAGGTTTACAGGGTATTACCAGAATTATTACGTGCAAGTAATTTGAGTGAGATAAGTGGGACTTTGTCACAGTAGGTCGCCAGACTATTACTCCTTCGATGCCCACTTCATCACCACTCACAAAAAGCTAGACCTAATATTAAATCAGTAATTACAATATTAAACATTAATACCAATATTGGTAAATTATAGTGTGAAGTGTATAATTAGGCTTGCTAGGTATACAGAATATAAACTGTACATAAATTAAAATAGTGTTATTAGAAAGTAAATTCGTATTACCACTTACCATTTAATTACTGGATCATTTTTTTTTGAAACACACCCTAACGCTACCACAACAGCTAGAATTTATGATGGCAAATGCAAAACTACATTATGGGTGTCACTTAGCTAAGGTGTGCTCCTGGGAGAATCTGTGTCCTCTATTTTTTCGTTCTTGTTGCCGAATTGTAAAGGTTTTCCACACTGTTTATCCCAATTCTTCAGCGGGAACGTGTCAGCAATTTCTAAATTACAATACACCTATTGAACTTCGATGATGCCCGATTACATTGCACAATTAAAGGACCAGTGTTCACACGTTCACCTTCAATATGGCATCTCCCCTGTCTGGATCACTCAGCAGATGTTCTCCACCTCTCCCCCCTTCACTCGAAATTTCTCGAAAGGGTCAAATCAGCATTACATTTTATTACACAATTGTATTATTCAAATTTACACATGCTGAATTTAGGAAAATTCAAAATTTTCCACACTTTTGCCCTGCTCACTTAGCAGTAAATAGAAACCGTTGTTTATTGTGCGACGGTTCCTGGTAAAAAATGGCCAAAGGACCTCATTATCAACAAGCTACACTGAATTAAGCTGCTTAATAAGTTTCTTTGGTTAATAATAATAATAATAATAATAATAATAATAATAATAATAATAATAATAATAATAATAATAATAATAATAATAATAGCACTAACATCCCATATCATAAAAATCTTTGAAAGGGTCCTAAGAAGCAAGATCACCACCCATCTAGAAACCCATCAGTTACACAACCCAGGGCAACATGGGTTTAGAACAGGTCGCTCCTGTCTGTCTCAACTATTGGATCACTACGACAAGGTCCTAAATGCACTAGAAGACAAAAAGAATGCAGATGTAATATATACAGACTTTGCAAAACCCTTTCGACAAGTGTGACCAGGGCGTAATAGCGCACAAAATGCGTGCTAAAAGGAATAACAGGAAAAGTCGTCGATGGATCTATAATTTCCTCACTAACAAACACAGAGAGTAGTAGTCAACAGAGTAAAGTCCGAGGCAGCTACGGTGAAAAGCTCTGTTCCACAAGGCACAGTACTCGCTCCCATCTTGTTCCTCATCCTCATATCCGACATAGACAAGGATGTCAGCCACAGCACCGTGTTCTTCCTTTGCAGATGACACCCGAATCTGCATGACAGTGTTTTCCATTGCAGACACTGCAAGGCTCCAGGCGGACATCAACCAAATCTTTCAGTGGCTGCAGAAAACAATATGAAGTTCAACGATGAGAAATTTCAATTACTCAGATATGGTAAACACGAGGAAATTAAATCTTCATCAGAGTACAAAACAAATTCTGGCCACAAAATAGAGCGAAACACCAACGTCAAAGACCTGGGAGTGATCATGTCGGAGGTCCTTCAAGGACCATAACATTGTATCAATCGCATCTGCTAAAAAAAATGACAGGATGGATAATGAGAACCTTCAAAACTAGGGGGGTCAAGCCCATGATGACACTTTTTTCCAGGTCACTTGTTCTATCTGGGCTGGAATATTGCGGGCACACTAACAGCACCTTCAAGCAGGTGAAATTGCCTGACCTAGAAAATGTACAGAGAACCTTTACAGCGCGCATAACGGAGTAAAACACCTCAATTACTGGAGCGTTTGAGGTTTCCTAAACCGTTTTCTCTGGAACACAGGCGGGAGAGATACATGATTATATACCACCTGGAAAATCCTAGAGGGACTAGTACCGAACTTGCACACAAAAATCACTCACAAACGAAAGCAAAGACTTGGAAAGACGATGCAACATTCCCCCCAATGAAAAGCAGGGTGTCACTAGCACGTTAAGAAAAAACCATACAATAAGTGTCAGGGGCCCGAACTGTTCAACTGCCTCCCAGCATACATAAGGGGGTTTAAACCAACAGACCCCTGGCAGTCTTCAAGCTGGCACTGGACAAGCACCTAAAGTCGGTTCCTGACCACCCGGGGGCTGGGGCTCGTACTTTGGGTTTTTTGGCGTGCAGCCAGCAGTAACAGCCTGGTTAAATCAGCTCTGATCCACCAGGAGGCCTGGTCACAGACCGGGCCGCGGGGGCGTTGACCCCCGGAACTCTCTCCAGGTAAACTCCAGGTAATAATAATAATAATAATAATAATAATAATAATAATAATAATAATAATAATAATAATAATAATAATATCTTTATTTTCTACAAGTACATGTACAAGGTATACAGGCCTAGCTGACATCAATAACATACTACCATATGGAAAGCCACTTATTATGTAGAGCATTTCAGGCAAATTTGGTCATGGTAAATTTGGTTTGGTAAATGGTCCAAGTCGGACCGAAACTCCAGGTAGATCTGGTCACAATCATGACAAGTTACAAAGGTAATGAATCATCTACACTTCTATATATGGTTACATTCATGAACAAATTACAAAGTAATGAGCCATTCACACGTCCACATCCGGTTACAATTGTAGTGAGTTATAAGTACAAATATTAACTGGGTCGCACACACACACACACACACACACACACACACACACACACACACACACACACACACACACTGTGATAACGACATACAAATACTGAAAGGAATCAACAGGTTGGACAGAGACAAGATGTTCCAGTGATGGGACACAGCACCAAGGGGTCACAGTTGGAAGTTGAAGACTCAGATGAACCACAGGGATGTTAGGTAGTGTTTCTTCAGTCACAGAGTTGTCAGGAAGTGGAATAGTCTGGGAAGTGATGTAGTGGAAACAGGTTCCATACATAGCTATAAGGAGAGGTATGATAAAGTTCATGGAGTGGGAAGAGTGACCGAGTAGCGGCCAGTGAAGAGGCGGGGCCAGGAGCTGTGAATCGACCCCTGCAACCACAACTAGGTAAGTACACGCACAAGCACGCACACAAACACTTGTGGTAATGCTGTGCGAAACGTGAGCTTTAGCCACCACGCCACAGGGCACCGCTATGGAGAAAGTCTTCTGAAGAAAATACATATAATGTGTTATTCTCATTGCTTTGATTACTTTTTTAACTAGTGATTTACACCCATTTCCACATTTTTCACATTCTTTACTCTGTACACATAAGCAGAATATTACATGACGGTGTGCATCCCTTGTGGTGAACAGAACTGGCAGGAGCACCTGAGACGGATGGAGTCAGAGATGAAGGCTGGGCTGCAGAAGACAGAGTTGGCTGCGCAAGAGGCCACAATAGAGGTCAAAGGGGCAAGTGATCGCGCCAACAGCCTGGGTAAGGTTGTAAATGGCGATTAGCACCGACAAGTAATTCAAATTCAAAGTTTATTCTCTATAAGGATTACAATGCTGAGTTTACAGAAAATTTGGTTATTGTGTGGTTTACATGCAGTAAAATTGTGATTACAGAGTGTACCACTAGAACGCTTAGCATGGCTAGGCATTTCGGGCATACTTAGTTTTATTCTTAATTGTAAAATATTACAAATTATGAGGTAAGTTGGTATTATGGCTAAGTGACTAAATACTAGTTTGTAAGTTTAACAATGTGAATGCTTTTGTTTTGGCACTGTACATAGTTTCAGTATTGGAGTATCACAGGATTCATTATTTTAAGATTGAGATTAATATTTCTGTTTATGGTCAAATGAGTGAGTGACTGTAAGTGTGAACCACCAGGTGGTATTCGTATAGTTTAGTTGACGGGGGGGTATCAGGGAGATAAGATGTTTTCTAATGGTAGTTTTGAAGTGATGAATGTGTCTGCAGTTCTAGAGTTCTCAGGTAGGGTTTTCCCAGATTTTAGGGCCTTTGACATACATTGAATTTTTGTAAAGGTTTAGTGGGACACAGGGAATGTCGTAGAGATGTTTGTGCCCGGGTTTTTAAGCCTGTGAGTTCTGTCACAACTATCAAGAAAGCGTTTTTAGGTCAAGGTTGATATTAGAGTTTAAGGCCCTGTAGATGAGATTGCACAGTAGTAAGTGTGGATGAAACTGAACTGGGAGTAAGTTTGGGTCTATGAAGAGTGGGGGGGGTGTTTTTGCCAGGGAGGGGATTTAGTGATTATTCTTACTGCAGCTTTTTGTTGGGTTATTATTGGCTTTAGGTGTGTTGCGGGCAGTTGATCCCCAAGCCAAAATAGCATAGGTGGAAGTATGGATAAATAAGTGAGGGGTATAGTGTGAGAAGGGCATTTTGGCGGCACGTAGTATCGAAATCTAGGAGAGGATCCCAAACCGTTTTGGATACTTTTTTTGTTTATATGCTGGATATGGGTGCTGAAATTTCAGGTTGTTGTCAAGGTATAAGCCTAGGAATTTTCCCCCATTATTTCTGGTAATTAGAGTGTTGTTAATCTTAATGTTAATTTGTGCATCTCCTGCTCTGCTACCAAAACATAATATATAGGTTTTGTCAGTGTTAAGCGTAAGTTTATGGCTGTCATCCAAGTCGATATTTTAATCAGCTCCTCAATTCACAAGGGTGTTGGGGGTGCAAGATTGGGGTGAGAGATGACAAAAAGTCGTGTCATCACAAAAGAATGGGTTTCAGGTTTTGGGGATACGTTTGGAAGGTCATTGATGTATATGAGGAAGAGCAGGGGACCAAGGACACTTCCCTGCAGAACTCCAGTATCAAGTGGCCGTGTTGCGATGCTGTGTCTTTTAATGGTGACGTACTGATACCTATTAGTAATGTAAGATTTGAAATAAGCAAGCGCATGGCCTCTTATACCGTAATGATCAAGTTTGTGGAGTAGGATGTCGTGGTCTACTGTTCAAAAGCTTTTCTTAGGCCCAATAAAATTCCTATGGATATTCCTTATTTTCCAACGCTGTGTAAAGCAGATCAGCATTTTTATGATTGCATCATTAGTGCTTTTATTTTTCCTGAATCCAAATTGGCAGGGGTTGAGTATTTTTTAGAGCTTTTTATAAATGAATACAGTCTCCTTTTGGCACGAGTTTTCTCAAAGATTTTGGATAGCAATGGTAAGTTAGATTTTGGGCCTATAGTTGTTTAAGTCTGTATGGTCACCACCTTTATGTATTGGTGTAACCCTTGCCACTTGAGTAGTTTCGGGAAGGTGCTAGTCTCTAGTGACTTGTTAAAAAGTAATGAAATTGCATGCGAAAGGAAAATGGGCCGCTCGCTTTTTACAGTAATGGTGGGACAGGGAGACAGATTCCCAGAGTTATTTTTAAGTGCCCTTTATAATCTCAATGACTTCCGGGGGCTCAGTTGGTGCAAGATAGAAGGAATTAGGGAAATTCCCATCTGGGTAGTCCCCGGCATGGGCATTTGTATTGGGATTTACTGGCGAGATTAGATCCTATGTTTGAGAAGAGTCGTTTTTTCTTGTTAGCTGTGTCAGTGGGATGTAGTGGTGTTTAAATTAGGTTTAGTTTAGGACAATATTCTTGGTTTTTCTCCAGTTTGTGGTCCCTAGAATCTGAGAGAGTTTTTTTCCAGGACTTTTTTATATCTCCTCTGTGTCTGTGAAATCTACTGGAGTAGTATAGTTGTTTTGGCTTTCTTTATTACTTTGGTGAGAGCTGATGAATAGTGTTTAAGAGATTCTTTGTGTATTAAGCCCTGTCTATATTGCTTTTCATATTGGTGTTTCTTGTCAATGGATTTCAAAAATGGTGCTGGTTAGCCATGGGCAACCAAGCCGTTTGTTTTGTGATCTTTTTTTGTTTTTATAGGACAATGTTTGTTGTATAGTCTAAGTAATTTGTTAAGAAAAATGTCTGTCCATCATCAATACCATTGGCCTTGGAGAATTCTGTAGGCCAATCAACAGTCTCTAGATCAGCTGTGAACTTCCTTACTGAGCCTCGTCATGGAGTCTAAATGAACTTTGTTGTATTCAATGGTGGTTTACTAATGTTTGTCAGGAGGAAGGTAGGGTAGTGGTCTGTAGTGCTATCTGTGATTATCCCTGTTTTAAAGGGGGGGCTAGTATATTGGTCCATATGTGGTCTATTATGGTTGCACTTGTCTCAGTGAGCCTGGTTGGTTTAGTTATTTTTGGGTATGAGAAGTGTGTTGTTCATATTGTTGATGAAATCAGTTACGGGCTGATCATCTAGTAAGCCAAGTTTGATGTTGAATCCCCCAGCTAAGAGAAGGTGGTGCTTATTTCATTGTCTAAACTTAAGAAATCGTAATGAACACGATTGCAAATAAACCATACCCCCGGGCCCGGGGAATGAACCCGCGGTCATAGAGTCTCAAAACTCCAGCCCGTCGCGCTAGCCAACTAGACCAGCTAGCCACAATAAGATTCATCCAACTAGGTATATTTCTACACCATAGGAAAGTTTTGCACAGGGACCCTGTGACCAAAATGCAAGTTTTTACAGACGAATCTCCAGCTAGCGTGGCCGTGACGAACTCTAGCTCAAGTCCCTTCACTGCCGTCAACATGACTGGAGATTCGTCTGTAAAAACTTGCATTTGTGGTCACAGAGGTGCCTGTGCTAACTTTCCTATGGTGTAGAAATATACCTAGTTGGATGAATCTTATTGTGGCTAGCTGGTCTAGTGGCCAGCGCGACGGGCTGGAGTTTTGAGACTCTATGACCGCGGGTTCAATCCCGGCCGGGGGTATGGTTCATTTGTCTGTTTGTTATTAGTGACTTTAATTTCTCACTGAAATTTGGGATGTTTGTGTGAGGTATCCGGTAAATGGTACCGATTGTTATAGGCGTCTTAAGGTTTTTTGCAGTAAAATTAGCAAAAATGTATTCCCCTCATTCATCACTAAAGCAAGTGGTGCTAAGACAAGATACTTGGTTAGAGTAATAGATTGCAATACCACCCCCAACTTGGTTTGGTCTGCAGTTGTGAATTGCTGTGTATCCTGGTAGAGGGTAGATATCTATTTGTGTCCTGTTTAAGCCAGGTCCTCAGTAAGAATAATGCAGAAAGGGTGTCTTTAGTGATTCAAGGAGTGCAAGGAGGTCATCATAGTGTTTGCTTAAGGGCCTGATGTTGTAGTTAAGTACTGATAGACTTTTAGCATTGGTTTAGGATAGTTGTGGCTTGTGATGCTGTGTAATAAAGGCAGTTACTTTCCAATAGGTTTTGATTGGGTGTCAGATTATGGAGGTTTAGATCAGGGTCCCAAAGTGATCAATCATCTTCTAGGTTTAAATTATGGTTATTTATATCCTGAGTTGTGTGTTGAGTTCTAGTACTGATATCTGTAGTGGTAGGAAGTTTGGACAAGTATATAGCTAGAGTATTTTGGTCATGTAGGGTATAGTCACTACTACACATAATGAAGTTGATGTTGTCTATGTGTTGTGCTGGAATGAACTAAAGTACAACTAGGTATAAACTAGTAATATAAAAATACAAATTAAAAATAGAACAAGACTCTCACTTGTAATTGCACTAAGGTCTAATAATGACTTTTGTGGAGTCTATGTAATTCAAATTCAAATTCAAAGTTTATTCTCTATAAGGATTACAATGCTGAGTTTACAGAAATTTGGTCATTGTTTGGTTTACATGTAGTAAAATTGTGATTACAGAGTGTACCACTAGAACGCTTAGCATGGCTAGGCATTTCGGGCATACTTAGTTTTATTCTTAATTGTAAAATATTACAAATTATGAGGTAAGTTGGTATTATGGCTAAGTGACTAAATACTAGTTTGTGAGTTTAGCAATGTGAATGCTTTTGTTTTGGCACAGTACATAGTTTCAGTATTGAGTATCACAGGATTCATTATTTAAAACTGAGATTAATAATTTCTGTTTTATGGTCAAATGAGTGAGTGAGTGTAAGTGGAACCACCAGGTGGTATTCGGGATAGTTATTTTACGGGGGGGTATCAGGGAGATAAGATGTTTTTTAATTGTAGTTTTGAAGGTGAATGAAAAGTGTCTGCAGTTCTAGAGTTCTCAGGTAGGGTATTCCCCGATTTTAGGGCCTTTGACATACATTGAATTTTTGTAAAGGTTTAGTCGGACACGGGAATGTCGTAGAGATTTTTATGTCTGGTGTTATGCCTTGGGTTCTGTCCCCAACTATCAAGAAAGCGTTTTAGGTCAAGGTTGATATTAGACTTTAAGGCCCGTAGATGTAGATTGCACAGTAGTAAGTGTGGATGTACTGAACTGGGAGAAGTTTAGATCTATGAAGAGTGGGGGGTGTGTTGCCAGGGATGGGATTTAGTGATTAATTCTTACTGCAGCTTTTTGTTGGGTTATTATTGGCTTTAGGTGTGTTGCTGCAGTTGATCCCCAAGCACAAATAGCATAGGTGAGGTA